CAGAGGTGGACAACTGTCGGATCAAAGAGGATCCATGTCTCATAACCATTTCCGTGGCTGCAATATTATATTACAGAGGAGGATGTGGAGGTCTCATCTCATCTTGGCAGGAAAGAGTGTTGCTTGGGGAGAATGGGGTCGAGAGGTATGCAGGTTTTGAGGTGTAAAGAAGAGGGAGCTGTGAAGGTTCATCACTGGCACAGAAGACAGGCAGGGGGAGACACAGCACGCATGCCCATATTTACCACTGCAGACCTTGGTCAGCCCCTTTATTTTATCAAAGAGTAACTGAAAAGAATGGAGACTGGGGTGATTTCCTCACTCTAATAAGGCGTGGCAGAATTGGGACTAGAAGCCAGGCCAGTGCTCTTGCGAGTGGTCCCCAAGGACCTGACCCACAGACTAACCTCGTGTCATCTTTGCTTTTCCTTCTCTAAAATAAGGACCCCTGCTACCCCATCCAGGGTGGGAAAGGCCTGGAACCATAGGAGAGCGGTAGGAGAGAGCTGTAGGAGCTGCTAGGAGAGGGCCAGACAATCATAACTTGGAGTCGCACTGGGTGGAAGCATTCCTCCCAGACACTCTGGACACAGGCAAAACCCCTGTCTGTTGTGCAATTCTAGGAGTTGTGCCTGCCAAGTTTCACCCTCAGACGCAAGAATGAGGAAACAAGGATAGAAGGGTTGGCCCTACATCCCACAGTGTGAAGTCCAGAGGGAAGGTAATGCACCAGTGGTACAGGATGTGGGATCCTCAGGCTAGTTCCCTCTGAGCCTGGTTCAGCAAATACGTCCCTCACAGGATTACATATTCAGTGCACAGGAGGCACTCAATATTCATTAATCAGTGCCACATGCCACATTTTCTCTTCCCTTTGGATTTTTGCACATGTAGGTTCTTCTGCTTGGAACATTCCTACACTTTCTCTCCTCATATGCCGCCCACCTGATCTTCTGGGGACTCAACTTAGACGTTGTGTGTTCAGAGAAAGCATTCTCTGACTACCCCAAGGGGGTTAGGTCCCCTCTTCTGGGTGTCTGTAGTACTCTAAACATATCTGACCACAGCACTGACCCCACTACTATGGTTGCCCGTCTCCTGGACTAGAGTGTGAGGTCCCCGAAGGCAAAGACCGCAGATTACTTGTCTCTGCTAGCACTTAGCAGGACCTCAAAGAATAAATGCTGCCTAACTTACTACATTAATGAGTTCTGTTCCCACCTCCTTCATTCCTGACCACAATAAAGACCTCTAGCAGACAGAGAGACAAACAAGTAAATCCCCGTTCTCAACACAGTGCCAAAGCGGAATGTTAAATTTTTTTCCAAGTACTATAATTCTGGTTTAAAAACCATGTCACCTGCATAGAGTTTTGGTTTTAAACACTGACATCAACTGTAAAAAAGAAATCCCCTGAAAGTAAACAGTGCCCTACAGTGAGAACTCACTAGCTACATAGCCCGGGTCCCCATCCCCTGCTCCCCCAAAGTCTACCTGGCTGAGAGAATGGGTGTGTCCAAGGGTGTCCCAGATTCGTTTCATCTTGTGCTAACAGCAGACAGGTGAGAAAGCCATGATGACCAGGATGCTGCTCTACGAAAGCGTCACGAACCCAAAAAGGGGAGGAGACAGAGGACAGAATTCTTACCATCTTCCCCAGGGTGGGGCTGCCCTACTTATGAAGAGTAGAGATTTGGGGTCACCGGAATGACCTATAATTTCACCTTCACCTCTTCTGACCTTTCCTATTCCCAATTTTATACTCCATCTCATTCTCAAAAGAACATCTGAGATGACTGTCATTGTTTCTTCAGGTCTATGTCTATATCAAAGACTTTTAATAAAGGGACATCACAGTTGTATGATCTTGGGCAAGTGATCTTCAAGTTTCTTGAGCCTCAGTTCCCTTGTGTGTAAAATGGGGATAACAATGACCAAACTGGGTTATTGTGATTTTTAAATTTCATAATACATGTGGAGAATTTAGCCCAATGCCTGCCACACAGTAGGTGTACAAGAAATGAGAGCTGTTTTTACCATAAGACCCAGAGAATGCAAAGTTCTGAAAGGAGACTTTCAGGAACAAAAGGAAAGAAGATGTCGGACTTTCTGGAGAACTATTTGATAGAGATTCCGGAACTCTGCACAAGGGGCAATGGCCGTGGGGACCTCTGAAATTTCTAGAATGTTTGAAACAAACTCTCCTGTTTGTCATTTTCTCCTGCACATTCTTACTTCACTTAGATCAGCAGTTCAATCCTTTAGATAAAAAAGGCCCGAGTGTTTGTTTAGGGGAATCCATTTTGGGGGGAAAAGAAACTCTAAGAGACCACGGAAAAAGGCTTAGTAGAGGAGTGAAGAGCTAGAATGTTTGGACGTCAACAGGAATGAAGAGCGGGACATTCAGAACACTGACATGAGAACAGGAGGTCCCTGGAGGCCTCATTTTGAGGAGCTCTGCAACCCCTTAGACCTGTGCAGACCATTCCTCGTTCCCTTCCTGCTGCTCCCAGAGCTCTGGCCCACAGTGTGAGCATCACAAACCATGCCAGTCTGGGAAATGCTCTGCTTGGACTCGCCGTAGTTCCATGACCCTACTTGGTGTAACCTGACCCACAAACCCAGTCATCAGGATGTTTAAAGGACACTTGATTCTTTCTGTGACAGTGTGGTTACCCTAAACCTGCTAAGACATGACTACAAAGAAGAGAACCCCAGCCTCTAGCCTCAGTCCATACACGAACAAGTCAAGTCGCCTGAATCTGGGTCAGAAGGGCAAGCTGCTCTTGGAGCAGAGGGAGAATTATTGCCTACCTGACAATCCACAGCCACAGGTTCTCAACTCTGGCCTGGGTATTAGAGTCACTCAGAGAACTTTAAAAAACACAGATTTCAGGGCCATCCTAGCCCTATCAGGTACCTCAGGAGTGGCACCTGGGAATATATAGTTTGCAAAAGTGCCACAAGTGACTGAGATGTGAAGCCAAGGTTGAATACAATGCTTCATGGAAGTATCATGTTTTGAACTTCTGGGAAATTACTAAGGTTCCACACAAGAAGACAGGGGAACTGTCTTTTCCTAAGTGGTATCTGCAACCAGTCTGTTCCAGCCTCCCTGGCTCTCCAAGAGGAGGGGATCAATCTGGAGGCAACTGCACTCAGCTGCCTAACCTACTCAGGCCTTTCCTCAGGGTCCCTGAACAGCAGAGATGCCTTCCTCATCACCAAAGAACTCAATAAAAGGTGTGCTTATCAAAATTAGATAGATTTAATAACATTTCTGGAGCACCTGTTTTGCGGCAAGTCCTTCCCCAGACACATAAATTGCAAGCGTGTGAGAGAGGCACTACATCGTTCCCATTCGGGGGGCATTCCTGGAAAAGGAGTGTTCCCCAGCGCTTTACCAGCTCATTACAGCACAGTCCTCAGGGAGATGTCTTCCCAACATGGTGATTTATTACCTATGATCAACATACAATTTGGGCTTTATTGACTGATGTGTCTTCACAATATCCTTTTCAAATGCTCTAAGGCTGGATGTGGCTAGGCTGAGTGCATGACCTTGAATTTACCTGAGGCTTATACCCTTGGGCTGTCAAAACATGTAGCTTATATATATATTTTTTAAAGTAAAAATACGGAATGTTTCACAAATTTGCGTGTCATCCTTGCATAGGGACCATGCTAATCTCTGTGTCTTTCCAGTTTTAGTATATGTGCTGCTGAAGTGAGCACTCGAGCCTGTATTTTAATCAAGAAAATAATTCCCTGTTTGCTTATCCTTTGGAAAACAATCAAACCATTTGGTGGGAATCAAAGAGTTGTAAACAAGGGAGTGCAGGAAGGTACACAGGTGCTTTTTGGTGGAGCACATTAGGTTGATCTCAGCTGATCAGCATTATGAGCTACGACTGTATTGTCTCCATTCTTAAAGATGATGAAACCAAGGCTCAGAGAACCTCAGTAACTTGCCAAACACACACAGCTAGGACAGGGAGGGCAAGGATTGGATCCCACATGTTCTGATTTCCAGACCAGTGCTTTCACCTTAGCTCCAATAAGTGACCCCATAGCCCTTCTGAATGGCTGTAGTCACTTATGTGCAGATTTATAATGGCTGACAATTCACATACTGTTTTTATCAGCCACATGAAAAAATCATGGATTAAGATCCAACAGAATTTTAGGAGAACATAATTATAAAAGTAATGAGGGCTCAGAAGGGCTGAGTGACTTGTCTAAGATCAAAGAGTTACTAAGAGCCTGGGTCTGTATTTGATCCTAGGTCTGTATGGCTCCAAAACAGGAGCTCTTTTTAACGAGTTAAAGGCACATATACAGCGCAGCGGGGAGGAAATCACACGAGATAGGAGTCACGAGCCATGGATTTCCGTCCCTGTTCCAATCTTTATTAGCTGTATCACTTCGGACAAGTCCCTTGCCCTCTGTAAAATGGAAACAATGATCTCTGACCTACTTTACTGAGAAGTGAAGATCCAAATGTACGCAAAAATATTCTGAAAATCCTCCCTCCCCCCAAATAATAGAGGGTAAGAACTCGGGCAGATCAGACAGTCAGACCTGGGTTCAAATTCCGACTCTGCCACTTACTGGCTTTGTGACTTTGAGCTAGTGATTTTACCTCTTATGCCTCAGTTTTCTCATCTGCAAAATGGGGCTAGATCAAGTACCCACCCAAAAGGTTGTTGTGACGAGGAACGAGAGCATCCATTTACACAGGGATTGCCCGACACATAGTACTCGATCAATAAACGTCAGCCACTATTACCCTTATAATTGTGCCTCTCGGGTCTCCAACGTCTTCGAAGCTCGGGCTTTCTGAGCTACCAAACATGCCCTGGGACCAGTTTCGGTCCTATTATTCTCTGCCTTCTTCCCTGGACCCTGTCCCTCCCTTCCCACTCCCCCTTCTCCACAGCCCGTCTTAAAACACTCCAGGAACCCCAGTCCCCTGGCCCCGTTTCGGCGCCGTCTCTTACTCGACGACCTTGGCCGGGTCCCCGTGATGCCCATAGACCAGCGCCCGGACCCGGGAGGGCTCGGCAGAGGCGGAGTAGGAGGCGGCGGCAGGCCGGCGGCGGCCCGAAGCGGGGCGTAGCCTCCGCTGCAGCCGGGCCGAGGCTCGCGCCCCCCACAGCGCGCCGCAGACCCACATGCTCCTTCCAGTCGACTCAGAGCCGGACGCCCAGGACACGTCATCTTCCCGCGACAGCGCGCCTGCGCCCCGCCCCGCCGCGTGACCACGCCCCTTGCTCTTTTTAAAGGGCCATTCTCTTCCTCCGCTGCCCGCGCGGTGGCGCCTCGTGACACTGCGCGGGGAGCGAGGGATGGGCGGTGGAGGGTCTAGAGGGAGTCACAGAATCCGAGCCTGCCAAAGTTGATCTCCCAAGGAGCGTCTGGGACTGGCCTAAAGCTACAGTCTGCGATTTGGTGTTTGATTTGGGGGAAGTCATTTACCCTCCCCTGGCCTCAGTTTCTCCTCCCCACCATTTATTCAGTGCTCACTGTGCCAGGCCCTTTAAGGCATCATCTCATTTAATCCCCACTACTCTCCAACAGCATAGGAGGCCAAGCTTACTTCCCTACACTGAGTTTAGAAGATGTAAACTGATGTGGAGCTAAGAGCGCTGGGCTTGGAGTTAGAAGATTTAGGTTCAAATCCTAGTCCTGCTGCTTCCTAGCTGGGCCACCTTCGGCAGTGGCTGAAACTCCCAGTCTGCTTTCTCGTCGGTACAATGGGGAAAATATACCTCCTTCAGGATTGTTGTAAGGTGGGCCGCCCCGTGGCTTAGCGGTTAAGTGCGTGCACTGCGATGCTGGCGGCCCCGGTTCAGATCCCAGGCGTGCACTGACGCACCGCTTCTCTGGCCATGCTGAGGCCTCGTCCTACATACAGCAACTAGAAGATGTGCAACTATGACATACAACTATCTACTGGGGCTTTGGGGGAAAAATAAATAAATAAAGTTATTAAAGATTGGATGCAAGAGTAGAATAAGGGGCTGGAGAGCACATTGTAAAAAGCTAAGTGTGTTCAGATATAACGGAGGGATCTCAAGGAGGATGAACTCCTCTCAAAATGCTCACTGTGTAGAAAGGGATTGAGTGGGACAGTGGAAGTACTTTGTAAAAAGATGTAGCACAGTGAAGATGCTAGATCATATTTTTAGTGGAAAGAAGACATGAGCGTAACAAAAACTCCAGTTGAACGTCAGAGCAGGAGGGAAGGCACTGTTGGAGTCTGAAGGAGAGAGGTGCTCTGGGCTGGGGGTGGGGGGTGGGGTAGGGGCTCTTGGAGGAGGTGCTGTTGGAGCCAGTCCTGTGACTCAAAATCTTCAATTTGCATAAAAGTCACCCGAGGTTGCATTCACCCACCCCTACTGAATTAGAATCTTGGAGAGGGATCCAGGAATCTATATTTCTTACAAGCTCTCGAGAATATTCCAAGGCAGGTGGCCCAGGGAACAGACTTGGAGAAACACTGAGCCAGGGCTTTGAAAGATAAGGAAGAGTTCCTTTCTCTGGATTTTATTGACCCAAAGCCTGCCAGCTCAGAGCCTTTCCTCTGAGGAAGAGAAGGCCGAGTGCTGTGATGAAGGGGGCAGGCGCGGGATTCTGGCAACACTGGCTGAGTCCTGGCTCTGCCACTCTCCAGCCATTTGATTTTGGACAAGTCACGTGGCCTTTCTGTGTCTCCATTTCCTTATCCTTAAAATGAGGGAACTAGTAGTATCCGTTTCAAGGTTGTTGTGTGAATCAAGTGAGATGTTATTCACTTTAAGTGCTTAGCACAATGCTTGGCACGTGAAAGCATTTAATAAATGATATTGGGGGTTATTGTGAAGATCAAATGAGAAATATCACGTGTAAAAATACAGACTAGGGTCTGGCTCATAGCACGAGCTCAAAAAATGTTTGTACTTGGTTTTATTATTAAAGAAAGTTGGTGTCCCATG